TTCAGTGAGTTTAGCAATTCTGCCATGAATAGAAGGTTAGCTTTTGATAGGTCAAACAATATTCATTTGCACGAGCAATTTTACCCTCAGAGTTCTTTTGATACTTTCCTTTATATATTCCAAGGAAGACTTGGGATCTTAAATTCATATACCAACAGCCAGTTGTGGATCTAGATATCAGTCAGGCATTCTTGTAAATAATCAAAACTCCTATCAGGTGCTTAGAATAGCACACCTAGGATTGAGATTCCCTGGTAAGTGAAGCCATGTCAACAAAGTCAGCCTGGTATAAAGTTATATTCTTTTGTCCTTAGTCAAGCATTCTCATTATCCATAACCACATGTATTTCTGAGATTTTGTCATTATTAATTATCTGAATCATGCAGTTACTTTGGGGTATAAATATTTGATTTGATATTAAATATTAGATTTGACCTTACAATTGTTCCCTATCCCCAATGCATTACAACAGCTCCATCTAGTGATAGGTATGACGATGAGGGGGTAAAGAATGGAACATGGGGAAAAGTATGTATTGTGATCCCCATTTTCAGTAAACATTACTTGGATAATTAAATCTAGTTTTATTCTTTCTCATTTGGTATTTGTTAATGCAAATCTGATAGTGATACTCCTGCTAAAATCTTCCAACATCTTCTTTTGAACATTCTCACCCAAGTTTTGCACACTTTAGACCAAAGTATGTAAGACCAGGTAGTTAAGAGAAGGCAGTTATGTGTGGGCTGTGTGTTGGGGTAGATAATATCCTGATTTACAGATTTATCTCTTACAAATTGAGAATCTGACTGAAGAAGTAACACTGTACTTTGTTGTCTTCCTCAGTTGGAGATGGTATGACAAATACCACAGGCTGAGTGGCTTAAACTGATAAGAACAGCTACTACACTTGACCTTAGCCAAAAGGCCCAGAAGAGATAGGCTGGGTGGCTTAACAAATGTTAGACAGTTAGTGAGGCTCTAACAGGATGCCCGGAGGCCAGCAAGGAGGAGGCCATAGGCAGCTGTGGGGAAGGTCAGAGGCCTGTCCCGGCAGCATCCGCGAGAAGCCGGATCCCACCAGACAGGCCCAAGATGGTGGCACCATGACAGGAAAGCCCTGGGCAAGTGAGGAAGAAAAGGCTGGAAACACTGCTTTCAGCCCCAAGTAATAAATATTCTGCCCCCTGGTTAACAACGGTCAATAAAAGATAGAAACCCAACTCCTGGGGCACACAGCTCTCTCTTTCCCTCTTGAGCTGCCTGCTCTCATAACTTGAGAGTGTTACTTTTGCTTCAATAAACTTTTCTGCCTCTGTCATGTGTCCCCTGTGTACATGTCTGTCCTTGAATTCCTTCTCAGGACAAGCCCAAGAGTTCTCTGGACTCCTTTGGGTCTGGCTGGGTCGATGTCCTAGGGCCCAGGATGTCCCCAGTTCACCCAGCGACGCAGTTATTTTTCACTGTTCTGGAGTCTAGGAAGTACAAGATCAAGGTGCCAACAGACTCAGAGTCTGCTCAGGACCTGTTTCCTGGCTTGTAGGGGTTGCCATCTCCCTGCGTGCTCATGTAATTTGTTTGTGGGCTGTGGGGAGGGAGGTGTGCTGGTCTCTTCCTCTTCTTGTAAGAGCGCTAATCTCAAATCTCATCATGGGGATTCTACCCTTAAACCTCTCCTTAAAGGCTCACTCTCCTCTCGTTTGGGCCTCAACTATTCATCTCGAAGCTTTCACCTAATGGGGCAAAGCTGGATTCTTTCCCAGTAGCAGATGTGTGAAGTGATTTGCTGGATCTGGAGGAAGGCGAGCAGGCCAGTGGAAGATCCTCGCGTAGTCCTTATAATTGTTTTATGTCACCTTCCATTTGCAAGGATGGAAACATCCAAGGCTCTTACAGGAGTATATAATGTTACTAAAGATTTTCAGAAAGTCTGTCGGTTTTCTCATTATTTCTCTAAAAAGAAAACACATCCCTTTTGAATTCCCTGATGAAAGTAGTTAATACTAGCTATATATGCTAAAAAGTTTTTCAAATACCATCATTGACATAACGTTGATCTTTATATTCATGTTAATGTATGTCAGAGACTTAAATATGTGGTGTCCAGGGGGCGCTCCCCCCGCCCCCCCACGACGACTTGCTGCCCTGCTGCAGAGTGACTGTGGTCCGAAGCTGGGCAGCCGCTGAGCTCCCCCCGGGGTTTGCTTTACCCCACTCAAGGTCACACCCTTGTCCAGGGCAGCCCACAGCCCGGGTGGAGCAAAGTAGGGCTAGAAACACTCGTCCAGGGGGATTTTCGCCCAGCCTGGGGAATCGCTGGCAGGTCACCCCGGAGTCAGAGTGCCCACGTCTGCCTGACATTCTCCTCTGCCCCATCCTCGCTCCTCTTCCTCCTTTCACAGCTCTTGGTCCCTAATCACACCTTGTACCCCAAACTCCACCTTGGCATCTGCTCCCAGAGAACCTGACCTGCATGGCTATGTCACCATAATCTTTTCCCCGGGTCTCTTGCCTTTTATGCTTGTTTTAGTCAATAGGGTTTCTACACGCAAAGACTAGGAGTAGTGTAGGGGCCCGGGGCAGGCCGCCCCAAAGTGTACCACAGAGCATAGTGATTATTTTGAAAGGAAACTACTTGGGAAACAGCAGGTGCAAGGACATCACACGGTCCTTTGGCCCCTGAAAGCAGGAAACACATCTCCCCTATTCAAGGTACCTTCCCAGGGCTAAGAAGTAAGACATCCTTATCACCAGAGATAGGAAATTTAGAGCCAAGCAGGCTGTAGAAACACACCTTGTTACTTCTTTACTAATCTACTACCTTAGCCCAACTTTGACTTAGAATTCCTAACTAATTCAGGCTCCCAAACATCCGTTTTCTTTATCCTGTCAAATCCTCACAACTTTTTTTGTCTTTGTCTAAAATGTATAAAAACTGCCTGCTTTGATCATTCTTTCAGGTCTGTTTCATTACTGGGCCACCCCAGGCACATAATAAAACTTTTTTTTTTTTCCTCCTGTTAATCTGTCTCATGTCAATTTAATTGTTAGAAGAAACTTGGACAGAGGAAAATTTCTTCCTTCCATTCAGTAGCAAAAAAATCTGTATGTATTGAATTACAAACTGCGTGCTCCTAAATCTTTGTGAACCACATGATAAAGTTAATACTACTTTTATAGTGTCTTTTTTTTTTTTTAAAGGGGGTTGGAGTCCATAAATTTTCACATCTGATTGGCATTATCAAATTTACTATCTCGGAGATTACGATTGCTATTGTTTCTGATTATTCATACACATTAATTCACTCACCCTACAAAGTCCTATATTGTGCTCCCCACCACCTGCTTTTCTATCATACCCTTAAGGGCCTGTTGGCTGTTCCCAACAAAGGCCACATGTTTTCTGTCTTAGGCCTTTGCATTTTCAGTTCCCTCTACTTGGAATTCTCCTCCCCTAATGTCTACCTTGCTCATCTTCTTTTGATTTATGTAGGCCTCTGATCAGGTAATACCTTTAAAGAAATTATCTACACTTACCCTTTATCTAAAATAGGAGTCCCTGTTAAGCTCTATAGCTTCTCTATTTTCTTCATAGGATATTTATCACCTAACCTATTGTATGTTTATGTCTCCGCCGCCTAGAAGTCATTTCAGTGGAGGCAGATATCTAGGTTGCATCCATTGTTGTGTCCTGAGCTACTGTAAGAGTGAATTAAGTAGATACAGGAGTATATAATGTTACTAAAGAAATAGGACTCCAAAGAAATAGGACCAAGGATTTACCAGTATGGGTTCAGTAAGTTCTGTGTATCTTTAATCAATAAATCAGACTGTAACTCCCTTCAGAATGAAATCCTGAAGAAAATGGAAATGACCCCTAAGAATTCCATCACCTGGTGAAAATTGTCTAGTTAGGCCACTTAAGTCAGGTCGTCCTTTTCCAGGACTCTTCTACTATGCTCAGGTCGCTAAATTTGTCCTGGGACAATAGTCACTGCATTCTAGCTTTACTTTTGGCCGTTTACAACCAGTAATTGATAGGACCGTCATTAAAGTGGGCTCAGGGATTTGCCCATCTGGTTCCATCTGCAACTTTTGGATAAACTCTTCTGAGCCTGTTAGCCTCAGCCCTGACGATCTCCAAATTGCCCTTTCTGTAGGTCAGACTAAGCCTAAGATTACCAGTAGAGTTGCTCCTCCTTCTCGCAAGAAACAGCACCAAAAATATGGAAACGCGGATCATGTGTATCAGCCTTTTCTTTGAAACTGTAGGTGGCCCTGAAAAGAGCCTTTGTTTTGCAATGTCCCTAACCTTACTCTTCCTCACTTGGCCTTGTGGTGGCTCTCGGTCTTCTTGGGCAGCAGCACGGCCTGGATGTTGGGCAGGACGCCGCCCTGCGCGATGGTGACGCGGCCCAGCAGCTTGTTGAGCTCCTCGTCGTTGCGGATGGCCAGCTGCAGGTGGCGCGGGATGATGCGCGTCTTCTTGTTGTCGCGCGCCGCGTTGCCCGCCAGCTCCAGGATCTCGGCCGTCAGGTACTCGAGCACGGCCGCCAGGTAGACGGGCGCGCCGGCGCCCACCCGCTCGGCGTAGTTGCCCTTGCGGAGCAGGCGGTGCACGCGGCCCACCGGGAACTGCAGGCCGGCCCGGGATGACCTAGTCTTGGCCTTGGCGCGCGCCTTGCCGCCTTGCTTCCCGCGCCCGGACATCGCGGCCCCTGACGCACCGCGAGGAGCCGCCGAACCCAAAGCCCCGGCCCAGCACTTTATAACCCTGTCGAGCGCCAAAAGGAAGGTCGCGCATTGGCTAAGGCTGTGGCTTTGTGTCGCCCAATGGAGAGGCAGCTTTGGAATCCTTGCGTTCTGATTGGGAAGAACTAATTCTGACGTTACCCTGAACAGCCACCAATCAGAGAATACTGTAATTTACACCTTATTTGCATAAGGGCTTCTCTATAAAACGGACAAGTGGCGCTCTGCTCGCGCTGTCCCTTCGTCCCGTCTCTCGCGAGCACCTTCGCCGTCGTCCCCGCCATGCCCGAGCCCGCCAAGTCGGCCCCGGCCCCGAAGAAGGGCTCGAAGAAGGCGGTGACCAAGGCGCAGAAGAAGGACGGCAAGAAGCGCAAGCGCAGCCGCAAGGAGAGCTACTCGGTGTACGTGTACAAGGTGCTGAAGCAGGTGCACCCCGACACGGGCATCTCGTCCAAGGCCATGGGCATCATGAACTCGTTCGTCAACGACATCTTCGAGCGCATCGCGGGCGAGGCGTCCCGCCTGGCGCATTACAACAAGCGCTCGACCATCACGTCGCGGGAGATCCAGACGGCCGTGCGCCTGCTGCTGCCCGGGGAGCTGGCCAAGCACGCCGTGTCCGAGGGCACCAAGGCCGTCACCAAGTACACCAGCGCCAAGTGAACTTGAAAAGTAAGCGTGTTTAAACTTAACCCAAAGGCTCTTTTCAGAGCCACTAAGTTGTCGGTAATAGAGCTGCAAATGCGCGATCGGTTCAGGCAATTACCCTGGGGCGGTTATGCGGACATCGCACCGAGTAACGCGTGCTGTGGCCAGAAGGAACCCGACGCACTGCGGTGTCTGCCGTATGTGTGCAGTAAGCAGGGCCCTTAGCGGATGTTAACACAAGTGTGTGTTGTGTGAGCACAAAATGATTCCTGCCTTTGGCGCGAAAGTGGATCCTTTGGTTGTGTCCAAGAGTGGCTTCCTGTTTAAATCCTAACAGCCTGGGTCCTGTGGCTGTTTATACATTAGTAAATTTGGCCCCCAGTGATCTCCCAAAGTCAGCCTTTTCGCTCAGCGGTTATCCCATGTCCTGGGCGGTTCCGCATGGAGGAAGGGGCACTACATTGGCAGAGCAATGGTCTCTAGCTTTAAAAAGTTGGCCTCTCCAGCCAGACAAAGTGGGGGGGGGGGGGAGTCTGCAAGGCAAAGACAAACCTCCCGAGTTAAGGAAATGGAATACTACGGCTCACAAAAAAGATAAGTTACTACTTTGTCATACATAGGACTAGAGAGATAGTAAGTGCTAGGTGGTATAATGGGGAAAAACAAGGGCACATAGTAGGTTTGAGCAAATTGAAGTCTGTGCAACTGTTTGCCTGTTTGTACAAGATTGTTCTGAACTTTGTGATTTCAGCTGCTAAATTCTGTGCTCTCGAGACTGAAATCTGAATAGAATGAGAGAATAAAAGTGACCTTCTCGGGCCCACAATCAGACCTACTGTAGAAGGGATTGGAATAATTGGTCAGATTGGGATGGTCAGAGGCACATCTTGTACTTGTCCTGACACTTCCCTCAGTTCTCCACCCTAGGAAGGACCAGGACTGCAACCCACTCATTGTGATGGCTCCAGCTACCCAGAGAGTGGTTAAAAATATTACAAGTTTGGTTATAGAATATAACATTTGTGATTTGGTTATTTGATTTGGCCGTCAGTACCTTTTGCCAATTTAAAATGAGAATAATAAAACCTATCTCAGAAGATTATTACATGAGAGAACCCAAGGAAAGCATTTAGCACAAATTTGAATAAACTATTATAGGCATGGTTTCTTCTCTTTCACTCTACCTTTGTCTTATAATGCCTTGCAAATTTTAGGCTTTCAGTTAATCAATCATTGCTTATTAAGAGAGTAGGAAGATCAGTCTAAAAGACTGACTCTCCAAGCCAAATAATGAGATCAGCAGCCTAAATTTTTTTGTCTACTTATGCCTGCAGTTCTTTGGGGGAATTAAAGGAGAGGGGAAATAATTACATGAACAGGCAGCATTTGCAAAAACTACTAAAAATATAAACCCAACATTATGACGTGACTCCAAAGTAGCCAAAAAGCTTGTAAGAAACTAAGCAACTTTTTTATAATCAGAGAAATGCAATTTAAATACATGAGATTTCGTTCAGCAAATGCTGACCAGCAAAAAATTTTAGTCTGCCATTAGTGAAATGTTGAAGAGGAACTCTCAGAGTACTTGTGGAATGTGGGGGTGTAAAATGAAAATACAACCTTGGAAAGCAAGTTGCTCCTTTCATGTTGAATATGCAGACCCCACTATCAAGCAATTCCACTCCTAGATCTGCAACCAGAGAAAGCATACGTCTGTGGACAATGCCCATAGCACTGCTATTTGTAATGGGGGAAATACGGCAATTTACATTGCAGCAGAGAAACGAATGCATTTTATCTATGTGTTCCACGCTGTAGAGAAAACTAACTAGAGCTCTCTGCCACTCCTCTTTCCAGGATCCTGGTGAGTGGTTCCTGTTCCTTTTGTTTATACCCCTCGCCCCGGCATTAAGGAACATATTCGAAGGAACCCAGCTTAGTGTTAGGCCTGGTCCCTCAGATCTAAGGCCTCCAGATCCCATGCGGTCCCCACCCCGCGGCGAAAAGCGGTTGGTCAGCAGAGGCCCCGCCCGGGTCACTCGGCACCATTCCCTCCCCGTCGGCGCCCCGCGCAGAACCCACCTCGAAAGCGGAGCCAAAAACTGCCGCAACGGCTCTACGCGGAGCTGTTCGTAGACCAGCACTAAAGCTCTTTCAGGGAAAACGTGGGGGCCCTAAAAAGGGCCTTTTTAGTAAGTGACAGGAATCCAGACCACTGGTCTTCAGCCCCCGAAGCCGTAGAGGGTGCGGCCCTGGCGCTTGAGCGCGTAGACCACGTCCATGGCCGTGACCGTCTTGCGCTTGGCGTGCTCCGTGTAGGTGACGGCGTCCCGGATCACGTTCTCCAGGAACACCTTGAGCACCCCGCGGGTCTCCTCGTAGATGAGGCCGGAGATGCGCTTGACGCCGCCGCGCCGGGCCAGCCGCCGGATGGCGGGCTTGGTGATGCCCTGGATGTTGTCGCGCAGCACCTTGCGGTGGCGCTTGGCGCCGCCCTTGCCCAGGCCCTTGCCGCCCTTGCCGCGGCCCGACATCTCCGGGAAGCCGGGGAAAGCGGAAAAGTGCAGCCCGCGCGCGCCGCTCCTTTTTATAGGTAACCTGTGCGGACCGGAGTGAAAACCGGCAGAGCTGTGGCGGGACGTCCCTCTGGGTTGGAGGAGGGGCTCTGGAGAGGAACCGGCCGCTGCGGGGGCTCCCTTTTGTCCGAGCGCTTTCTAGCCTCAAGACCTAAGGCTATTTTTTCTCCTTTTCTTTCGTGTTTCCCATCCCATCCTCGTGAAACAACGCAACTTTAACACTGTAGGGGATACATTTAAAAAAGCACAGAGAATAAAATGTGCTGTTTTTATCTGCACATATATGCATGCATTTTCTTTTTCTAACAGTATTTGCATAGACTATACCATTTTGTAAAGGCTTTCTCCTTGTTATACGGGGGGAGGGGGGGATATGTTCCAAACACTAACTTCCTAGAAGTAGAACAAGATGTGCTCATAAAATAGAGAATTTTAAGATCTTCCAGGTATATGGCTAAATTCTCTTCCACCACCAAAGGGGTACCAGTTTTCATTTTAAACAGTGTTTTCCAATACTAACTGACTTTAATAGATCAAAATAAACTTTTGAATCAAAGTATTTCCCATGTATCTTTCACAGCAGTTCCTATTATACCTTACTCAGAATGAGTAGAACCAATTAAAAAAAAATTTAGCTATAATAATCCAGACTTGGTTTCTTGTATAGAGAATTAACTTTTAAAAATGGTAACGGGCTGGCTAATCAGTATAACATAATATATATTTTCTCCACTGATTTGAGGAAATTAATTGTTCATATATTGAATAGTTCACTTAAAATTATTTCTTGAATTTTCACTGTTATGCAGATGAGTCTATTTGTACTGGAGAAGTATTATAATTATTTGTAACATTGAAAAATATCTTAGTATTTGGCTATACATTTATTATGGTAAATTTGTTAGCTTTGAATTATTGTGTCTTCCTAACCTGAAAAGTACTGAATCTCTCCATCAACCTAGGTCTTTAAGTGTATCTCAGTCGTGGTTTTTTTCTAGATAAAATATAATTAAAGACATTTTTTAAACTTTCATTGATTACATTTGTCATTAATGAATAAGTATAAAATTCAAATGCAGGGAAAAGAATTTGGTCTTTCTAAGAAAATCTTTATTAAAAGAATATACTTAATACATACTTAGTTAAAAAATATGTATATATAGACAATTATACTATTGCTTAAATTCTGAGAAAATTTAATCACTCTTTTCAGCATTAGCTTGTAATCCCCTTGTTATCCAATTATTTTCTTGCTATCCTTTATTTCAGTGAGTTACTTTTTTAGCAATGTTACATTACAGTATTTCCAAAGTATTCCATTTAAATTTCATAAAATATATAAAAATAATTTTTAAATGTCATTAAAATATTGAGAATTTTTTCTGCATTTATGTTGCAATAGAAGAAAACTTGCCAAACACTTGAAGAAACAAAACATTCAGACAGTGGGAGGCGAATTCAGTATATTTTATAGAGGGGGGGATAGCATAGGTTAGTTTAAGGGCAAATACAAATAGAAAATAAGAGACTTACTTCTCCCTGAGGGTCCCTCTATTTTCCTTTTTCTCTTTCAGAATTTCTTTCTCTGTCCTTCCCAAATGTAGGTAAATCCTTTTGACCGCTAAATAAGTCTTTGGCCAGCCTCTTAACTTAGGAACTTTCCTCAAGGATCTTTGAGTCCTTTATTTTGAAGTGTAATCATCAAGAACAACAGCACTCTATCTGCCAGTGTCTTGAAAGGGAAATTTTACTTCAGCTGGTATCTGAGTCCACATTGCGAATCCTACCTAATGTAAAGGGTGGTATCCACTTAGGTCTAAAAAAGTGAGATTTCTTTCTATCTTTGCCATTCTTTAGAAGATTGCCAGTGATGAGCATAATATTCTGGCTTTATGCTTATTGAAGAATGACATTGTTTTTTTTTCTTCCTTATTATCTCCCCAACATTAGTTCATTGGAATACATTTTACAGACCCTACCTTCTCTACTTTAAAAATCAGTAAAATTTCCATCAACCAGTAGCCTCCCTCTTTATCTGATTTCATGGATATTTGCATAGCCACTAGTCATGATAAAAGGTAGCAATGGATGGATAGCTGAAAAGTTGGTCAGGCTCTTTATAGTTTCTGAAATTGATAGCCAAAGGTATTTATTTTTCTATAAACCTACAGTATATTATTTTATAAAAATACAAAGCTATTTGGGCTGTTTCCCAATACTAACTGACTTTAATAGATCAAAATAAACTGTTGAATCAAGGTATTTTCCATATATCTTTCACAGTTAAGGGTAGCTGAATATGCCACCCAAACTATGCCTCTTTGTCATAAGGATCATTTTGAACTGATTATTTTTGAGAAATGGCATATACAGGAGTATGTCTGAAAATAGAAGTTACTTTTTAGTAAGAGACATTTACATTTATAAAGGAAATTGCCATTTCTAAGTACCAGGAAGGAAGACTCTAAATTACAGGAGAATTTTAATGGAGAAGACACCTACTTTAATGTGTATATCAAAACTTACCCTTGTTTATCTCGTTTTTCCTGGTATTGTCTCATAACTGTCGCCCCCCCTCCCCCCACCCCAAAACATACCCCTTTCTTTTATCTTTAGCTGAAGATGGTATATGAGGGGGTAGCTTGGCCATCTTGGGGGGTTTATTCATTTTTCCTATCTCCTGTGTCTACAGGAGGTATACATGTTGATAAAAATTTGGTTGTTTTTCTCTTAATAATCTGTCTTTTATTATTGGAATCTCAGCCAAGAACTGAAACAGGTAGAGGGAAACTTCTTTTTTCCTCCGCAACACAGGACACCTCACAGCCGGCAGCAAGCTTTCTTAGTCACGCTTGTAAAGTACATCCTGTACCTACGGCTGCCTTTAGGCCAAGCCGCCACTGTCTCTCAGACTTCCACAGTTTAGGCTAATTCTGAACTTTGTGTTCACCACATACTTGTCTTAATGAACTTCCAAAGTTATGTAAGTTGGGTTTATGCCGTTCCCACGTTCAAAACTTAGAATGGTCATTTCGAAGGATCTGCAAAACTCAGCTTGGCACGGTCTGACCTCTGCCTGTGTCTGTGAACTCACTTTCTACCCTCGTTCCCTCTGCTCTTGATCTTTCTTACACATTCTTGATTGTAGACTTGATCTTTACCTTCCTTATGCTTTGTGATCCTGCTGAAACACTTCATGTATGTGATGGCTTCGGGTATTTGCATTAACTTCTTAGAAGACTTCTCCCAGCACACCTGTCAGAATGGCTATAACCAGTAACACAGGAAACAACAGGTGTTGGCGGGGATGCGGAGAAAGGGGAACCCTCCTCCACTGTGGGTGGGAATGCAAGCTGGTGCAGCCACTCTGGAAAACAGTATGGAGGCTCCTCAAAAAGTTGAAAATAGAGCTACCCTACGACCCAGCAATTGCACTCCTGGGAATTTACCTGAAGGATACAAAAATACAGATTCAAAGGGGTACATGTACCCCGATGTTTACACAGCAGCATTATCAACAATAGCCAAATGATGGAGAGCACCCAAATGTCCATCGACTGGTGGCTGGATAAAGAAGTTGGCATATATATACAGTGGAATATTACTCAGCCATCAAAAAGAATGAAATTGGAACTAGAGGGTTTTATGCTAAGCAAAATAACTCAATCAGAGAAAGACAATTACCATATGGTTTCACTCATATGTGGAATTTAAGAAACAAAACAGATGAACATACAGGGGAAGAAAGGAGAGAGGCAAACCATAAAACAGACTCTTAACTGTAAGGAACAAACACGGTGTCTGGAGGTAGGCAGGGGGGATGGCCTAAATGGGTGATGGGTATTAAGGAGGGCACTTGTGATGATAAGCACTGGGTGTTGTAGGTAAGTGATGAAACACTAAATTCTCCTCCTGATACTAATCTAATATTATACTCTATGTTAACTGGAACTTAAATAAAAACTTGAAACACAAACACAAACAAAAAAAGAATACTTTCCTCAAAAGAACAGCATAATTTACCACCAGGTATGATTCAAATCTCTGCTTAAATACCATCTGGTCAGAATTTTTCCAGGATCATTGTATTGGCTTGAATCATGTCCTCTTTCACCCCCAGTTTATGTCTACCTGGTTTCCTCAGAATGTCACTTTATTTAGAAATAAGGTTTTTGCAGATGTAATTATTAAAGATCTTGAGATTTAGTGTGGGCCTTAAATCTAATGACTGGTGTCCTTAGAGGGGGAGGGGAGGGCATGGAATTTCCCCCTCAAAGCCTCTAAAAGGAACCAACCCTGGTAACTCCTTCATCTTGAGCTTCTGGCCTGCAGAACTGGGTAAGAATACATTTCTGTTACCTAAGCCATCCAGTTGGTGGTAAATTGTGACAAGCGGCGCAGGAAAAGAGTATCGTCACCCAAAAGGGAAGACCCACAGCTGCACCTGTCTCTCCACAGCCCGTGAACCTGATAGCACTGATCACAACTTAAAAGTTAATATTTTTTTAAGTTTGTTTTGTTTCTTGCTGGAATATAAATGCTCTGAAGGCAAGGAAATGGTCTTGTTCATTTTGCATGTGCGATGTCTCGTTGGGTATGTCCTGGTACAGTTGTCAACGAATGACTCCTCTTAAATAGGTGATATTTTTCCCTTTCACGGAGAATTTTATAATTTATTACCTTCTTCATTGAAACTCATGTTTCCAAATTGGTGCTACCATAATTTTGAGTCTAAAATGTGTGTAATGTAAAATTAATGGCATGTTACAAGTATAGTTAGCATTTCTTTTTTGTGTGTTTCTTTTGTTAGAAAGAAAACCGCAGGCCCAAAAGGGCTTCACTTAGGTTAAGGCCCCAGTTCAGCAAACGAGGGCTTAATACCTAATCGAATTGCAGTTTCAATCTTCCCCAGAAATGTAAATTTTGACCAGTCAGAAATTTTCCGGTAAGCACCAAAGAGGTAATCTGTCTCAGGGACCTCCTTCCCCCCACAAAAGGAACATGAGGTAATCTGCATAATCAGACCCCCTGGCCTTTCCCCTAACAGGTGATCTGGCCTGAAGCAATCCTTTTTCTTTTGTTTATACTTTCTTGCCTCACCCTTCTTATAAAACATTCCATTTTATATACTTCCTCAGATGCTGCCCAATTCGTGAATCATTTAATGAAGTCAATTAGATCTTCAAATTTACTTGGTTGGATTTTGTTTTTTATTTTTTTATTATTTTTTAAAATATTTTATTTATTTATTTGACAGAGAGAGACTCAGCGAGAGAGGGAACACAAGCAGGGGGAGTGGGAGAGGGAGAAGCAGGCTTCCCGCGGAGCAGGGAGCCCGATGCGGGGCTCGATCCCAGGACCTGAGCCACCCAGGCGCCCAGAATTTTGTTTTTTAACAGATTGTTGGCTCATATGGTCTATTTTGCTTGCCTACTTGGGTGCTTTAGATTTGATGAAATTTGGTACTAAATGCTGCAGTCACCGTGAACATATGTCTTCGTGCCATTTGATCAAATAGCCCTTCGGAAACCCGGAGAGGTTCATCTTAACCAAAAACAAAATTTTTTTTTAAGATTTTATTTATTTGACAGCGGGAGACCAGCTGCTCTCTTAGCTGGGGCAACAGAGCCGAGGGGCGGAGTATCCCGTGATGGGAAGTGGGGAACCACCCTCAAGCATTAACGACCGCCCAGACCCGCCTGAACTTACCCCGACTCCACAGGTGGGCCACGGAGTGACCCACGCAGTGACTGACAGTCACTTGTACATCCTTATCATCCTGAAATCCGCCCACGGAGGGGTACAGGGCTCGTGTGTGTCTAGGCTTGTTTCCAGCACATGTTCAATCTCACGCCACCTCTACATTCAAAGAGGAGGCCCATCTTCCTCAATATTCACCCTAAGCCTAAATAAAAGCAACCCATCCCCCCTTGCCTGGGGAGTCATGGCTTTGGAAGTTATCCGCCTGACCTTATTTGCAGCAGATAAACTTTCCTTTGTGCACTCACCTGGTGCAGTTCTTTCTTATTTGGGAGAGAAGAGGGACAAGCGACTCCGTGCTGAGCGCCCAGCCCAGGGCGGGGCTCGATCCCAGGATCCCAGGATCCCACGACAGGAGATGATGACCTGAGCCGAAATCCGGAGCCAGGCGCTTAACCGACGGGAGCCCCCTGGTGCCCTTGCCGTCTGTGACTCCCCAAGACGTGAACTCACGCATGAGTTCCGTTCCAACGATAGAGGTTTTCCGTGTGTATTCCGTCTGCTTTCAGATGTTATTCCACATGAGAGAAATCCAGGCCTCCTATTTCCCTTTGATTTGGGTTGCAGCCCACAAATACATTGATTAGTGATGAGGGAGCAGAAGGCTCGCTGAGGACAAAGCAGCAGCTGACCCCCTACACCCCCCCCCCCATGTGGTATGTGTGACATTCCTCAGGCACTCCCGGCTGCCCTAAAGGAAAAACAAATGGTTAACTGATAAGATCACAGTCCTGCAGGACAGGAGTCTCCCTCAGTTTACCAATGTCCTAGTGATTTACAAGGAAGCTTTCTCATCAATAGCCTAATTCCAGAGACCCATAACTCGGTTCCTGAAGCCCTAACATCACCCTCCCCTCCCTAAAATTAAGGGAGGCTGAGGCCGAAGGAAATGCAAATAAAATGGAATTTCTTCTAAACCTGAAGCCCATTGACAAGGACGTGTGATAGGAGGAATGTAACATTCCTCCGGGAAACCCCCATCTGTTTTCCTGTTCGTGCCTCCTTAGAGGGGAAAACAGCCTTGGCCTGACGATGACCAGGCCTCCAGGACCCCGAGAGTCTTTAGCACACAACAGTCCTTCTGGACTCTCGCCTCCCCAGCTCCCAAGTATAAAGTCAGCCACACCTCACAAACCGGAGCAGCTCTTTCTGCCCACGGGTCCTGTCCCCGGGGTCTAATACAACCACCTTTTTGCACCAGAGACGCTCAAGAACTCTTGGTCGTCGGCTCCGTACTCCACCCCACCAAACCTCATATATATTCTAAAACTTCATCATTATGGGACATAAAGGGAAAGGAGCAGAATCCAGCCAAGGCAAGGGCAGGTCATCAGGCTAAAGGAAGGATTGATCATCGTCCTTCCCTCTTTCCTCCATCCCCTTCCCCCTCAATCTTCCCACCACAACCACATGGTTTTCTTACTGTCTCTCTGCACTATTATAAAAAGTCCTCATCAAGCCTATGGAACTTGAAATGAGTAGATTATCCAAACTAATGGATATATAAATATCTACAAATAAAAGAAAAAGTGCTCAATTATATTAACACAGAACATTAGATTTAAAATGAAAAAACCAAAAGCCTTAAAAGTAAAGAGAGAGCTTTCATTTGCTTTAAACTTTTTGTTTAGAAATATTCTGTGTATCATTTAGAAATATAATGCACATTTCAGATTTTTTATTAATACAGACCCAATACTGTACTATTATTCACAAAATATTAGCATTAAGTATTGAGAAGTAGCAGAATAGGCCACCCCAAAATGTTCCATTCTGGCATAAGGTTGATTTTGAGCTGAAGGCATTTGAGATGAAGCAGATAGAAGAAACGCCCTTTGTCTTCCTGCTTATTTCCCTAAAAGCAGGAAGTAGATTTACAAAGCTGTCCCTCCTTCCCTCTCTACCTGGAAGGACAAAGGTTAATCCCAGTGTCAGAGTAGGCAGTTAGTTTAGGCTCTAACAGGATGCCCGGAGGCCAGCAAGGAGGAGGCTGTGGCCGGCTGTGGGGAAGGTCAGAGGCCTGTCCTGGCAGCGTCCACGAGAGGCTGGATCCCACCAGACAGGCCCAAGATGGTGGCGCCACGACAGGAAAGCCCTGAGCAAGTGAGGAAGAAAAAGCTCAAAACCCTGCTTCCAGCCCCAAGTAATAAATATTCTGTCCCCTAGTTAACAACTGTCAATAAAAGATAGAAACCCAGCCCGCAGGATGCACAGTTCTCTCTCTTGAGCTCACCATGCTCTCTTGAGAGTGTACTTTTGCTTGAATAAACTTTCCTGCTTGTACCCCTCATACACTGTGCTGTGTCTGCCTTTGAATTCTTTCTCGTGAGGAGACCAAGAGCCTTCTGCGATATCTTTAATATGGGTTGGGTCCAGACCTCAGGGCCCAGGGTCTCCCAGTTCACCCAGCAAAACCAGTAAACAGCTTTAAACCCTTATCAATGGAGAAGGTGCCAACTTAAAATCTGCCTAACAAACTTTATTCTTGTTTTCCTGGTAACCTTCCCATAACTGACTTCCCTGCACCTTTTGTCTTCGGTTTATAGGGGCCGAGGGCAGGATGCCCCAAAGATGTGCCACTTTGCCGAGATTATTCTGAGCTGAAGACAATAAAGACCGTGTGGTCTTGAGAGAAACTTTTGTCCCTCCCTTAACTGCATAAAAGAGTCTAATTTGGGGTCTTTCCCAGAAGAGGATTATGAACAGAGATAAAAGTTATCTGAGTGACCCATCTGTTCGGCAGGGCAAACATCTAATTACAAAACACCTGCTCTTCTTACTGCCCCATGCAGGTCATCCCTTCTCTTCGAAACCCCAGACCCCTTTTCCTTAGTTCAGAATGAGATAGATGCCTTCTTCTGCCTGTCTTTGGAATTTCCAGGTCTGTGTGGATTCCCTGTACAAATGCTATTAAATTAGATTTTTCTCTTGTTAATCTTTCTCATGTCAATTGGATTCTTAGTCAGGCCAGAAGGACCCTTGAAGGGGACAGGAATTCTTGCTCCCTGACAAGCTGAAGACAGTATTTAAGCGGTATTTCTAAGGCACCTTGGGGGTTCCTCGTTGTGCCCAGTGTAGCTTCCATGTGTACATGAGGTACACATGTTAGAAAGGAGACAGCAGGCCCCAGATGGAGTCAGTTGTATAAACCCGACATCAGCAAAATAAGATTTAACACCTAATCTCATCATAGTCCCACTCCCAGATTCCCACGCCCACCCCCAGGAATGTAACCTTTCACCAAGTGCAATTAACCTAGACTGCTAGTGAGATAATCCACCCAGTGGCCCGTCCAATCCCTTTAGGAGGACGACCTTGCCTGAAACAATGCATTTTTTGCTAGTAATTTCCTTTTTCTGCCACCTTTCCACCTTTAAAAGCCTTTTCTATAGCTCAGCGGAACTCCTTTCTATTGCTGGATGGAATGCTGCCTGATCCAGGAATCATTGAATAAAGCCAGTTTGACCTTTAAATTTACTCAGTTGAATTTCTGTTGTTTAACAATGTTAATAAACTGTGCTGTGTGTGTTTTTCTCTTGGGACAGCTGTCTTTTATTACAGGGATCTCAGCCAAACACTCAGAAGAGTAGAGGAAAAGTCATTTTTCTTTCCCTATCATGGGAAGACATATTTAAGGACAGAACAATTAAATAATGAGTAAAATTATTTGGGTCACACAGCTTCTATAAAGCCCATCAAAAAGTCAAATATTCTACTGGGGGGTGGGGTGGGGTGCATCTGAGTACCTATCATTGTTAGATCCTGTTGTCAGCATTTATTTTTATTCCAAGAAGTCATATGTATACCAGGATTAGAAGTAGTTTTTACCTTAAAAAGTAGTATTTTACCTCAAAAAAAGTAGTTAAGTACAAGAAATAGGAAAAAGGGTATGAATATTAATATGACATATTAATAGACTTTAAGTGTTAAAGAAATCCCATATAGGAAGGGGTGCTTTCAGGGAAAAATTATAATTAGGTTGAAAAGTCATGGGTAGGTCAACCAAATTTTAGAATAAGGGTTTTTAACCTGGAGTCCATATACGCCAAAATACCTCCAAGGATAAAAATCGTCAGTGCATGGTTGGGCGGGGGGTGGTAGTGAGGAGAAACCCCATGAGTTGGGATGGGGAAAAATATAATTTACTTTTGACTGATCTTTAGCATTTCCCTTTATAATGAATTTAGGCCACAACCTTAGTACCTGTGAGTTTGTCACCCAATGGAAATCACAGATAATCTCATTTCTCATAACAATTGCCAAAGTATCTTGAACCATTATTTTACTTGTCTAATTATTGATAGCACTTAGGCTCACCAAGATTGTATTATGTAATGTGTTCACTGTTTAGGCACATGTCAGTCCTAGCAACTTTATTCTTAAAAATACGTTGATAACTAATGGGATTTTTTTTTTTTTTTGCAATTTTTGCATTTTATGCACTTCAAATATTATTCTGAGAATGATTTCCACAAATGTCACCAGGCAAAGGTGTCCATGACATTCAAGAAAAAACCGCTAAGAATGTTTTTTCCCCCCTTTTTGAGATGACATCATCAGTGAACAGAGAGTAGGAGGCAAGATTCTGTGCCCTGGGGAATAAAAACCGTTGGCAGGGGTTTTCCTTATTTCCTTACAAAAGCAACAAAAGTTAGGTGTGATGCACATCAATCGACCTTCCTCCATACCTAACCCTGCCCGCTGGGAGGAGACCAAGGCTCGTCAGGAGCCCACTACACACTCCATTCCTAAGCAGCCCTTTGTCAAAGCACACCAGAATCCTCTACTTATATAGTGTTTTCCTCACTCCACTTGCACCTTTAAGTCTGTAACGCAGAACAGCCTTTGGGATTAGCAACACTTTACACTTCAATAGCACTAGTTATGGGAAACATCCCTTATATGTTAAGGTGTGACACACTACGCTGAGGCAACAGCCTTGACTTCAGGCTCATCCCAAATGTGAGAAACTTTTCTCGGGCTCCAGAATGGTGTCATAGCTACCCATGGAATCCCAGTAGTTTATCCATTTGGCAACATCGAGGGTGGTGGAGGGCAGTGCCTCAAAGCCTATGTATTGTTAGGAAAACTGGATGCGACTCTTGGCAGCCTTTGGATGGGGGAAGACTATCCTGCAGTGAAGCTCTCCATGGGCCGGTAGGGGACCGGATGTCCTTGGGCATGATGGTGACGCGCTTGGCGTGGATGGCGCACAGGTTGGTGTCCTCGAAGAGCCCCACCAGGTAGGCCTCGCACGCCTCCTGCAGGGCCATGACGGCCGAGCTCTGGAAGCGCAGGTCGGTCTTGAAGTCCTGCGCGATCTCGCGCACCAGCCGCTGGAACGGCAGCTTGCGGATCAGCAGCTCGGTGGACTTCTGGTAGCGCCGGATCTCGCGCAGGGCCACCGTGCCGGGCCGGTAGCGGTGCGGCTTCTTGACGCCGCCGGTGGCCGGCGGCCGGCCGCTTGCTGCGCCGACTGCTAAACTCAGCCAGCTAAGCTTTTGCGCACCAGAAAATTTCATTAATTGACAAAAGCTAATAGCTCCCTGTGGACGCACACTGACTAGGTAAACAACTCAACAAGGTATGTAAGGAGTGTTTTCCAATTACCACAAATTCTCAAATGGGGGAAAACCTATCGTTCATCGCAGGTTTAGACTTTAATGTAGTGTTCTGCTTTCAACCCGGGATAGAGGATAGATGAGAATGGCTCAAGTTTTCTACGTCCCACTTTTTCTCATTTAGTATAAAACAAATGTTAAAGTTCTTTTCCAGAAAATATAGGTGGCCCTGAAAAGAGCCTTTGGTTTGGACTCGACTTACTCGAGCTACCGTAAATGGTCATTTAGACCACTACTTGCCCTTGGCCTTGTGGTGGCTCTCGGTCTTCTTGGGCAGCAGCACGGCCTGGATGTTGGGCAGGACGCCGCCCTGCGCGATGGTGACGCGGCCCAGCAGCTTGTTGAGCTCCTCGTCGTTGCGGATGGCCAGCTGCAGGTGGCGCGGGATGATGCGCGTCTTCTTGTTGTCGCGCGCCGCGTTGCCCGCCAGCTCCAGGATCTCGGCCGTCAGGTACTCGAGCACGGCCGCCAGGTAGACGGGCGCGCCGGCGCCCACCCGCTCCGAATAGTTGCCCTTGCGGAGCAGGCGGTGCACGCGGCCCACCGGGAACTGCAGGCCGGCCCGGGATGACCTAGTCTTGGCCTTGGCGCGCGCCTTGCCGCCTTGCTTCCCGCGCCCGGACATTGTGACCTCAGATTGACGCAACAGTAAGTTACCAAAGTGAAAGCGTGGGGGTAGCAGTTTTTATAACCCTTATTGGGCTTGAAAAAGAGAATTTTTCATTGGTTAAGATTGCAGCTTAACCAATGGAAATGCAACTTTGGAATCCTTGCGTTCTGATTGGGAAGACGTTACCCTGAACAGCCACCAATCAGAGAACAGTGTAATTTACACCTTATTTGCATAAGAGGTTCTCTGTAAATGGGACCCATTACGTTTTTCTCCCCCTATTTCTTTAGAGAGCTTTTGATCTGTTGCGAATCATGCCCGAGCCCGCCAAGTCGGCCCCGGCGCCGAAGAAGGGGTCCAAGAAGGCGGTGACCAAGGCGCAGAAGAAGGACGGCAAGAAGCGCAAGCGCAGCCGCAAGGAGAGCTACTCGGTGTACGTGTACAAGGTGCTGAAGCAGGTGCACCCCGACACGGGCATCTCGTCCAAGGCCATGGGCATCATGAACTCGTTCGTCAACGACATCTTCGAGCGCATCGCGGGCGAGGCGTCCCGCCTGGCGCATTACAACAAGCGCTCGACCATCACGTCGCGGGAGATCCAGACGGCCGTGCGCCTGCTGCTGCCCGGGGAGCTGGCCAAGCACGCCGTGTCCGAGGGCACCAAGGCCGTCACCAAGTACACCAGCTCCAAGTGAACAGTGAGTTGGCGGCAAATTGGAAACTAACGGCTCTTTTAAGAGCCCCCATATTTTCAAAGAGAGCTGCTGCTTGTTTTTATTCCGTGCTGGGCTCCTGTAACTTTACAGTAATTGCTCTGCGAGGTACGGCAATCACCGAACAATGTCAGACTTTTCCTGTCGCGATAACTAAGCGACAAGAAACATTACCAGGTCCTGGCAAAGCTCTGAAACTCCTTTGTGCAAAGCAACCGCTCTGAGCTTGTCACTGCCCCTTGGGAACTATTTTCAAAAGGGCTCTGCCACCGGCTCTGGGAACCATTAGGATTAAGTAACTGGCAGAGAAAGCTAAGCTCGAAGCACATTCAAATACACCCCGGTTACCGGTCGAGAGTAAAGAGCTGGGCGCGGCCGCGGGCGCAGGGGTTGCGCGGGCAGTTTGAATTTGCCGCCTTCCTTTCCGCGCCCTGATTGGTTGCCGGCGCCTGGGAGGCGACCGCGGGTTTGCATGCGCGGAGGCCCCGGCCACTCCGGCCCCCGAGCCCCGCACACAGCAGCCGCTGGAGGAGACATTCTCCCGAGTCTGGGCTGCTTTTCATTCTCCTCGTCTTTAGCGTTCTGTCCTTGTAGGAATGACGTTTATACTTTTCCTCTTGGAATTTTCGTTGGAGAGAAAGCAATTTGGAGGGTGTCATCTTCAGTGTGAGAAGTACCCATGCTTTATTTCTAACTAGGGTGCCGCTTTCCCTTTGCCGTAGATCCATATAATGGAAAATACAAGACGAGACAGGACTGGGTTGGGGGGGGGGGGGCGGTCCAATGAAGGCAAAGAAGCTTGATGGCTATCCTAGACTGTCCTGAAACAAAAATCAGTAACTATTGTAAAGTTCCTTTTGTTGGTATTTTAAATCCTATGTTTGACATTGCCTGGAGCCAGTGAGGAAGAACACACTCCGTGTCAGTTAGGTTGTAAATAAGAACCCGTCACCCAACAATAGTATGTCTGCATTATAACTATTCCATATTCTGCATCTCTTAGCTTAAAAATCACGATCTATAAAGCATTTGGAAGCTTCCACTATGGCTGGTTTGGGGTTTAGGTAATTTTAAATGGATTTAATTTAAATACATTATTTAGTTTATCTAAAACGGATCTAAATTTAATACAGTGGTAATGCCTTAAACAATATTTTGTTAAATCCGGTGTCAAATATACACTTCTTTGTTGATTCAAATCCTACTCATGTTTCAATGCCCACTTCCATCTTGCCTGCTCTCTGAAATTTCTTTCCGTTTTTGAGCTTCTTCTAACAGTTTGTCCAGCATTTGGGACTGCCTCCATATATATGGATATATGGATTTGAATTGCTACTAACTGGTTTGTTGTATGTTTCCATGTAGAGAATATACAGTCATGAAAGGAAAAACAAAGAAAGAAAAGAGAGTTCTTTCCTTCATCTCCATCCCACACTAATGATAAGTGAGTATCTGTAAATAAACAGAACATAGATAATTTTAGTCACTTCTGTCGTATGAGACCCGGACCCTCTCCATTAATCCAAATAGTCAGATGATAATTTCCAAGCTAAATACTTTTTTTGTTGTTTGTCTTATAGGATATAGAAATCAGAATAAAAAGCCAGAATTTGTGAGAAAAGGACAGGGATTGAGAAAGAAGATAAGTCATAGGCAATAGTCCATTCCCAGATGAAAATCTGTAAAGACTGTTTTCGAAACTACGATGTTGAAAAGATCCCAGCTAATTCTCCTATTACTCAGAAAATTAAACTGCTTAAGCCGTAAACAAATCAGGTAAATAAATCAAATTTTCATCTTTGGGGTAATCTGCACCTTGATGGAGTCCCCTTGTAAATTAGGCAAAGTTTTGTTTTAATCCTTTCCTTGAAAAACAGTTATCACTTTAACCATTGCTAATCAGCTTCAGAAAAACTGGTTCAAAGCTAAACTAACACAGTATATCATTGCAAAAAATGTGCACTGTGAAATATCATATCACAAAATAGATATTTGTTGCTCAAAGTACTTAAGACTATTTGACAGGTCTTCCCCAGAATTCACAAACCAGAATGATGCCTAGAACATTGTGTTAGAACTAGCTGTTTGTATGTAGCCTTTTTTCCAGTTATATCAAATGATTATGTTTCATTTTTCTACTGTGTACATATTTCTTTTTAAACTAATCTCCAACCGTTGTTGAAATCAAGGCACCCATTCCCTAAGGAATTAATAGAGCCCCACTAAGAAAGTCTATGGAAAGATCAGTGGCCCTATATCTAGATACCATGCAGATATCTATTCTTCCATTATACCTTTGGTGTGTTAAAGTTAATTCCATTGTAATATAACTTTGGTTAATTTCATTTTCAAGTTTTGATAATATATGGTAAATATCCAATTAGTAATAACTATATTTACAAACTATCCATTGATTTGAATGACTTCTTCTAAGCTTTAATTTCGAAGTGTCACTTTTCTTGATATTGCCCCCAAATGTTAGATATGCAACTCTCTTTATAGAGTTTGCATTGCATGAAGACATATTTGCATTCTGCACATAAAGTAGAGCAGAATTTTTTAATTTTAATAATAAAAAAGGGATTCCTGAAGACCTTGTTTTGCACATTATTAATATTTTTTCTCATCTTTATAAGTGAATCTGTTCTCATTTACTGTGGAAACTATGCTATACACTTGACATTGGGAAACCCAATGAACATGTGGTTTGTGCTCTTGAACACCATCAGATCTACAAGACTATGATGTATACATCAGTATTTGATTGTCACATGGAGGGCGCCTGGGTGGCTCAGATGGTTAAGCGTCTGCCTTCGGCTCAGGTCATGATCCCAGGGTCCTGGGATCGAGTCCCGCATCAGGCTCTCTGCTCCTTGGGAGCCTGCTTCTCCCTCTGCCTCTCTCTCTCTCTCTGTCTCTCATGAATAAATAAATAAAATCTTTAAAAAAAAAATGATTGTCACATGGAAGCGATATATACGAGGCCCAGCCCGAGCAAGGACTGAAGGAAGAAAATAATTGTTAGAGCAAGTAGCTCACACTCCAGTTATTTCTACTTCTGGAACATAGTTATGCTTTTTATTTTTATTAACATGAGTTTTCTATGAATTGTTGATTGAGAAAGACTGTCTAGGTTTGAAACTAGGCCGTGGCACTTAAAATTTGCATTTACACATTAATTTCTCTAGCTTTTTTCCTCATTTAAAAAGAGGGATATAGTAGTGCTGATGAATTAACATTTTGCACATGCCTAGAACACTGCCTCGCATGCGGTAAGTATTCAACATATGGGCTGTAATATCACTGCTGAAGCCAATCAGAAACAGTAATAACAACGTACCACTCAGGAGGATCCGTGAAAGGCAAGAGGGAAGAGAGGAGGATTGCTGCCACTGGGAAGAATTGCATCTCATTGTTGACTTTTGCTGGAAAGAGAAATGATCTAAGATATCGATCTAAACTGACTGGTGTGTGGCTGATTTGCCTGGCGAGGCAAAGATGTGAAGGGGACAAAAGTGGAGGTTTGTTGACAAGTTTTGGGGAACAGTGAGATGGATGGACTCAGAATGGTCCCGGAG